TCCTGCCTCAGCCTCCCGAGTAGCTGGGACTACAGGCATGCACCACCATGCCCGGCTAATTTTTCTATTTTTTTGTAGAGATAGGGTCTTGCTCTTGCTCAGGCTGGCCTCGAACTCCTGGCCTCAAGCGATCCTTCTGCCTTAGCCTCCCAGAGTGCTGGGATTACAGGCGTGAGCCACCACGTCTGGCCAGGGCTCCCTAGATTATTTCTGAGCTGTTTGGGGCTTTTACCCAGAAGTGATCCTTCTCTTGAAAGGTGAACAACAATTTCCCCACCAGCGACTTACATGAGGCTGAAGAGACCTTCCAGATCTGTTGGGGGCGCTAAGGAGAAGACTGGTGGCAGAGCATGGGTAGGCAGGGACAGGCGACAGGACCCTAACGTTGGGAGAGCCCGGGCACCTCAGCAGGCACTGTGACCCTGGCCAAGTCACTTGCCCTCTCTGAGCCTCAGCACAGATCACAAAACAGGGTTGTAGCATTGGATGATAAGTCAAAGCTCCCTTTTCCTTCAGAGCTGGGGCCACTCTCCGTACAATGAAAGGGCCACAGTGTCCCTGTTCCTCTCTCCCTAATACTCACCATGGCTTGCTTTTTTTAACTCACAGGAATCACATCCTATTAATATTTAAGTTTGGGGCCACACATGAGCCTTTAATGTTCACATTAGCACAAAACGTGGTATGCCCAAGCTCAAAGGGCTGCAGCAATTGTGACTTCTGTCACGTTACCATTTATTGAGCACTGACCGTATAGCTGGCCCTGGGTGGGTGCTCCCCATGCAGGTGCATTTTGAACACCCTGAGCCCAAATCAGCTGCTATTCCTTCTACATTATTACTTTATCTTCATAGCAGCTCTGCAGGGTGGGCAGTTTTATGTTTCCCATGGTATAGACGGGGAAACTGAGGCTCAGAGAGATGACTTGTCTGTTACAGCAGAGCTGGGACCTAAACCTGAGCCCGCCCTCTGCGTGGCTCAGGCTTCCCGGGCCAGCCCCTCCGTGGGGTGCCCCCGCTGGGAAGGATACTAAAGGTGGAACAGGACGCCGTCTCCAGATCGTAGAGGCAGCTGCAGAGCTCGCGGGGGTCGGAGGTCAGGCCGGACAGCTGCAAAGAAGCACAGGCCTCAGCAGGGTGCTTCCTGGCCCTCAGCGGACCCCAGGGCACCCACCGCAGCCCCAGCCTCACCCAGGCCGTGTCATCGTTCACCACCACCAGCGCGAACTCGTGGCTCTTGCCAATCTTGTGTTTTGTCCGCACGAACATCTCGATCATCTTCTGCGAGACGTTGAGGGCATTGGTTTTGGAGCTGGGGAGGCAGAGAGTGGAGGAGGGTTAACGTCCCCTCACCCATCCACCCCTGAGAACCCTCTAGCAGCCCCACAATAAGGCCCTGGAGGCTCTGATCACACAGCAGGTGGCTGGCGGAGCCTGGCCGCAAACCCAGCACTGCTGACCTCTGACCTCTTGTCCTCTCCAAATGGGTCCCTCTGGAGGCCCTGCTGGAACTTCCCTCAGCCGTAGGCAGTCGTGGGTACCAGTGAAGGGAAGGTCTCGTCCTTAGCATCTCCCGGGAGCCCCTCAAGGCCCACCCAGGCCCTGCTGCCTGACCCCACAGAGACCCAGAGGGCAAGAGGCTCTCTCGGGAGGGAGCACATGACTCCCAAAGCAAGGGCTTTGGGGTCAGCCAGACCTGGGTGTGAATCCCGGCTCTGCCCAATTGCTGTGAGACCATGGGCGAGTCGCTTTGTTTCTCAGAGTCTCCAAGCCATTGCTGTGAACAGAGCCCCGAGGGGCCGCAGCCAGTTGTCCTTGCTACTCTCTGATACTGCCAGAGCAAGCTGCTGTGAGTCTCAGAGTGAAGGCCCCATATGTTTTGGGCTGGCCTCTCCCAAAATGTTCCCAAATGTCCCTCTTACCCATTGAACGACTCCAGCTTTGGCAGTGACATTTCCTCTGACAGGTCCAGGCAGATGATCTGAAAGGAAGGTGGAGGGTAGAGAGGGGTGCTTTGACTTCAACGCCAGCCCCCATGCCACTCGCCGGCCCTCTGCAAGCAGCCCTGTCTGAAAAGGCAGTACGGTGACCTCCAGTTCCAGCCAAGCCATCCTCTTTGGAAGCTAATGGCTCAGCAGAAAGAATACTGGACTGGGAGTCCAGGTTGATGAACAAATAAATAAAGTAGAGAACGTCTGACACAGAAACATAAAAATGAGGACATAGTGGGTTGAACTGTGGCTCCCAAAAGACATGTCCACCCAGAACGTCAGAACGTGACCTTATTTGGAATCAGCGTCTTTACAGATGTAATTAAGGTAAAGGTGTTCAGATAAAATCATCCTGATTCAACGACAAGCGTCTTTATAGGAGACAGAAGAGAAGGAGACACAGAGACGAAGACCATATGAGGAAGAAGGCAGAGATTGGAGTGATGCAGCCACAAGCCAAAGAATGCCTGGAGCTACCAGAAGCTGGAAGAGGCAAGGAAGGATCCTCCCCTGGAACCTCCAGAGGGGGCACAGCCCTGCTGACACCTTGATTTCAGGCTTCTGGCCTCCAGAACGGTGAGAATAAATTTCTGTTGCTGTAAGCCACCAAGTCTGCGGTAACCTGTGGCAGCCATAGAGAACCAACACAAACGGAATGTATGCAGAGTGTATCCCCAAGCAAGAGTGTTTAACTCAAGGTTCCCTAGCACCCCAAAGCCTCAGGCCAAACCCCCTACTCACCACCTTCTCTGGACAGTTGACCCTTGGTGTCCGAACCTGGACCTCAGGGGTTGGTGGAGGCACCTGCCAGGGCTTGGGGCCGGCTCCTGGAGCACTGGGGGTCCCATCATCAGCACTGGCTGCCTCGCCCTCACCCTCACTGCGGCTGCCCACGCTGGCCTGAGTCCCCAGTGCCCGGTCCTCGGCCCCTTCAGGGTTGGAGCGTGTGCGCGGCCTAGGCTCTGCCAACTGCTCCTCTTCCTCCTCCTCCTCCTCAGTGGGGCTGCCGGGTTCTGCCACTTCCATGGCTCCTGTGTGGCTGGATGCAGCAGGAACAGGCGAAGCCAGGATCCTCCCTTTAGGGGTTTTTAAAACATTTGGTCACTAATAAAGAAGATGGGTCATGAGCTGCTTACTGACTGTAAGGGTCACTCCTCTTAGGGACTCTGTTTCCTAAGCTAGAATGGGTGCCTTTTACACCTATCAGCCCAGCACCCTTCTGACATGACAGAACAGTCTCCCATTTTTTTCTGCAGGGCTCACCCCAATGGCTCAGAGATGGGCTCGTGACTGAAAACTGGCCAGGCAGTGGGAGATCTGGGACTTCCAATAGTGCCAGGGAGGAGACTCCCATTAGGGTTGCAGACCTGGGAGTATAGAGGTTGAGAGCTGCCAGGAGCCTCTTTGCCTCTAAGAGGGGAAAGAGAGTCGAGTGCCTGAAGTGACGCCCAGAAAACGGCAGATCGATTTCTGACCACCTGGACCTAGCTATGCTTGGATCCAATCTATAAGCCACTAACCTCCCTTTCTTGCTTAAGCCAGATTCAGTTGGGTTTTCTGTTATCCGAAACTGAAAATGTCTTGGTGAATAAAGGAATAACCTCTGGGATTCTCCCCAGTGGGCCCTGGGCAGACCAGCGGGTGTCTGCACAAGGGAGGCGCACGGATCTGAGTGTTATGGGTCCCTTTGGAGAGAAACGGGGCGCCAATGGAACAGTTTGCCTATCTGGGCAATAGGCATGGGCTTCCCAAGATGGTCTCTGGGTGCCTTGCAGCCCCCACCGCCTTTAAGAAAAACAACAGAGCTATAGTTACAGCAAGAAGGATGGAGGCTAGACTGCAGGAGAAACCAGAAATGAAGGCAGAAGCTTCAGGGACGGCGAGAGGCTAGACCTCTGGGGCAAAAAGAACTGGGCCTCTAGGGACGGGCCCCGCACCCTTTTACGCTTTAATCACCCAACTTATCCTCACCGTAGCCTGAGCCTCCCTCCAAACCAGCCGTGGACTCTCTAAGAAGTCGCCATTTTTCAGCCGGAAGTTAGGCGGCGTGGCCCCAGCGCCTCCTGGGAACTGTAGTTCAGTGGGCGTCCGGTCGAGCAGAGAGAGAATCTGGAGAGGCTGGAGAGGACTTGGAAGCTGATAGGCTGCGACTGTGCTGGGGTCGGGGTCCCGAATGCGATAGGCTGCCCTGGGAGCGCAGTGTAAAATATGATTGGCTAAAACAAGATTAGTGAGATTTTTCATGTTTGCAGACGGATCGAACTACACTGACCAGTGTTTCTACCGTGATAGGCTAAAATGAGGCAGAAGGGAGGGCCTTGCAATGTAATAGGCTCAGAGGGATGGAGACGGCCTAGCTTGCGATGTGATAAGCTGAGTGGAATTGAGTTGGGCGGGATTTATAGGAAAAGACGGAGCTGATTGGTGATTGGTCGAGTTGGCCCGTCAGCGTGGGGTGAGGTTTCCCGGATGGGGTGGGCGTGGCCTGGGCCTCCAAGGCCCGCCCCATTACTCGTCTGCCTTTTATTTTACATATATTTGCATAAATCAAAAATACTAATCCAGATGTATTTCAAACCTGCCTGCTTTCTTCATGTACATTTCCCACCTTAGCCCCAGAACCGTTTAAAAGCCATTCAAAGCCTCAGTTTACTCGTGAAAGGCTCAGTTCAGCCTGCACATCAGCCAGGCTCTGATTCAAGTATAGCCAGGAAGGGCTTTGTAAGCTGAGCCATGAAAGATGAAGAATTTGCCAGAAAAACAAGGGGTCAAAGGCATTCCAGGCAGAAGGAACCGCCTGGGCAAAGTACTGGAGGCTTGGGAGAGCCCTGGAGTGGCTGTGGAGCCTCTAACAGGTCAATATAGCTGAGGCAGAAGCTAAAAGTGGGAAATTCAGTGAACTCCCCAAGTCAGAGAACTGCGACTTCTCTCCCCACCACCTTTCTTCCCTGGAAGACACAGAGGCAGGAAGAATCAGACTCCAGGCTCTGCACAATTTTAACCAAATGCAGAAGGACGGAAAAGGTGTTTCAGGCAGAGGTTACAAAAGTCCAGGAGGGTGAGAGAGTTGCAAACCTGCTATCCATGGAGGAGGTCACCGTGGCTAGAGCATAGGGCGTGCATGGGGACAGGTGGGCAGCAAGAGCCTTGAGTGCCAGGGTGAAGGGCAAAGGGGAGCCAGGGAAGGTGTGTGAGCAGGGGAGGGGAAGTGCGAGATCCCTGTCTCCAGGACTTGGGTGGGAAAGGGAGTCGAGTGGGCAGAGAGCCCAAGGAGGGAGCTGAGCTGGCATCAAGCCGGGAGGGCAGAGACATGGGCTATGACTATGGATGGAGACCTATTAGAGGTGGGTGCAGGAAAAATGTGGAGGATGTGGGGACCCATCCAGGCTCCGGAGAATGTAGCATTTATGGAGGAGAAACAGGAGCTGGCAGAGGAAGCCAAGATGGGACGGCCAGAGAGGTAGGACAGAACAAGAAGCGCCTGTGTGATTCAGCTCCCCGATGGTGCTGGGCTTTGTGCAAATTGCTTTTTAAAGCTCCCATGACATTGTGAGGGAAATGCTGTCATTACCCCCATTTTAGAGCTGGGGAAACTGAGGTTCAGAGAGGGATATCACTTGCTCAAGGTTACCAAACCCAGATCTGTCTGTGACTGAGGTGAATGAGAACTGTGACCCCATAGTGAAGGGACAGGCAGAGAAGAGAAGCTCACAGGGGACCCAGATGAAAAGCGTCAGCCCAGGGGAACATTATGGCTCTTGAGAAATAAAATCCAAGTGTTGGAGGTGAAGGAGCCATGGGCTTGGATTAGAAGGAGCTGCCACCTTGGGAGTTAAACACATGCCCCCCTCTGGGGCTGGAGGAAGCTGCTGTCCTCAAGAAGGAAATGGTACAATAACAAGTCACATGACCAGGGGAGGGGGTTTCCTGTTTCCCGGCCCCTCCCAGGCCAGCCTTGGCCAGCCCAAGCCTGAGCCGGCCAGAGGGACCCCAAGAGTGTCCAGGGACTCAGGCCTCTGCCCAAGGTGTCCCCACAGGAACAGAGAGGTAGAGGGTTCTGAAGGGGCTGAACCCCAGGATTGGGGGCCTCCGATTTAGGAAGACCCTGGGAAGGAGAGGTGACTCTTGGATCCCGATCCGAGGTCCAGATAGCAGAGGAAGGGGAGCACAGAGGTAGTGAAAGTAAAGGAGGAAGAGGAGAAGGGGGAGGTCAGGGCAACCTTGAGGTAGTGAACTGCCTGTCAAGGGAGGCATTCAAATGTGCCTAATCAACACTAATAACTCAAGACCCCCTCCAGGAGAGAATTCAATGCCCCATTTCACGGAAAAGGAAATTGAAGCCATCACTTGCCCAGGACAACGAAGGCAGGAGCTGAGAGCAGGCTGTGTTTTTAGGGGTGAGAACGGAGCATTCAGAGGGCACTGGTTTCTGGACAGCAATGAGTGCCTGGGCCACACGGCCCCGAAGCCGGCGAGGGAGGCATGCTACGCCAGTAAGTGTCCCCCTCCCCCACCACACCCAGCTCCACAGGACCCCAATGTCTGGCCCTGCCTGGCTCAGAAATGGGCCCTGGGGGTCATTTGCAGGGTGAACTGGATCCCGTGGCCGAGAGTTCAGAGGAGGCTGAGGCAGCCAGTGGGACCTCCAAGCCCAGCCCTGTGCTGCCTCCAGACAGCTTCGGACCAGAGTTGTTGGGCCCCATGGCAGGAGTCAGTGACCAGGGCCTAGGGAGCAGGTAAGACCTGCTTGGCCCATGCCCAGGCACATCTTTGCCATCCATGGACCTGCCAATGCCCCTCCCCTGCTCACACACCTGCCATGGCTCCCCATTGCCCTCAGCCCAACTTTCAGCCCTGCAGAAGGCATCCCTGGCCTTGACACACAGCTCCTGTATGCCAGTTGCCCAGAACCTTCTATCTCTTACCTCCCGGTCTTTGCCTGCACTGTGCGAAGGCAGGCAAGGTGCCCTTCCTCACTGCGCACACTGCAGCTCGTTCTTCGCGCTGCCTCCCCAGCCCAGGTCTCCCTGCTGGACCACTGTCCAGGCTCCTCCCTGTCTCACCCCAGACACCAGCTCCAGAACACGCAGCTCTTGCCAACTCCCTGCCCTGCTCACACCTCCCAAGGACCCTGATGTTTAAGCCCCCAGAATTCTCTGCCCAGCATTGGGTGGCTAAAGTTTCTAAGCTGGTGTTCACAGGACTGACAAGGAGACTGATGGGGACTCTGGCAGAGGACCGGCCTCAGCCTCTGAGGGACCCCATGAGCCTGCAGTGGAAGCCCACCAGGTCCCAGAGGCAGCCCTGCAGGACAGAGAGACTGTCTCCTCCGGGACTGGGACCCCTGATGTGTTTCAGACCCTCCAACATGCTCTGAGCTCCCTGGAGGCGGCTGCTGCTGCCTGGCGCCACCGACCCCCAAGCTGTCCTAGGCTGATGGAGGCAGAGGGGAGAAGCGAGGGGGTCCCAGGGCCCCTCAGGAAGCAGGAGGGGGCAGGGGGCTGCCAGCAGGAGGCAGCTTGCCTGGCGGAGAGGAATGCCTGGCTCCGGCTGGCCCTGGGCAGCCGCGAGAACGAGCTGGTCCGCACACAGGCTTCCCTGCAGGCCATCCGGGCCGAGAAGGAGACGCTGCAGAGGGAGGTGAGCGGAACATTCCTGAGCCCAGGGCTCCCTGTCTGGAAGGGCAGGCCGGCCTGGCACGGCAGCGTTCATTCCTTTGTTCATTCACAAACCCTGATGGAGCACTGACTGCTGGGTCCGCTGACCCAACTAGACAAGCATCTCTGCAATCCTAGTTAAGGTGATCAGGGAAGCCACCAAGGAGGTGACGCTTGAATAGAGACGGAAGGAAGTGAGGGAGGAGCCATTCAAGGGTCTGGGGGAGGAGCATTCCAGGCAGAGAGCATGGCATATGCAAAGGAGCATGACTGGCATGTTTGAGGAACGGCAAGGGGCTGGGCGTGGTGGTCTTGAACTCCTGAGCTCAAGCAATCCTCTCGCCTTGGCCTGCCAGAGTGCTAGGATTACAGGCGTGAGCCATGGTGCCTGGCCCGGGAGAGGGACATTTGAGAGTCCTCAGCATGCGGGTGGGATTTAAAGCCGTGTGGCTGAATGGCATCATGGGAGGCAAGCCCACCTCTTGGGCTGGTAGAGAGACTCAGGGCAGCAGGGCAGCCACACAGGAGTGGATTCATTTCCCTCCAGAGGAGGGCCCATTTCCCTGCTGGGAAAGGTAAGTCTTGAGCAGCCAAGAGACATGTCCGAGGTGATATGGTGGGGGATTTGGCAGGGTGTGTATCTGAGGTTCCTGCCTTCCAGCCAGGGCTGTTGCCACTTCCCCAGGAACAGGCCCTGGGGAGGGCTGGAGGGTGGTTGGAGCCTCCAGGCCTGACATCCCCCCTCATCCGCCTCCTCCCCAGGTTCAGGAGCTGCAGGATTTCCTGCTGAGGCTGGAGCCCTTCCCACCTCCCTCCCACAGCCAAGCCGCTGGCTCAGGCAGTGGTTCCAGCAGTTCTGGGGCAGATGGGGAGCCCTGGGGGACTCAGGTGAGTGTGAGAAGCTCAAACCCATGGTCCCGATGTCCTTAGCATTCAGGGGGATGAGAGTCAAATCCTGGTCGTGGGATCCAATAGCTTCTGGGGTTGGAAAAGGGCTAAACTGACAATCCTGAGCTCTTGGCGACAATCTGGGTGAATCACATCACTTCTTCCCAGAAGGACTCCTTCTCCCTGGCTGACCCCCTGCTCCGGCGCCTCCAGAGCAATTCTAGCACCCAGATTCTTGGGTCTCTCCCGACCCAGCCCCTCACCCCTGAGATGCACATCATGGAAACCCAGATGGAGCAGCTCCAGGGGTAAGAGCCTCAAATGCTGAGCTCATAAGGGCACAGGCACACCCCACCCCCACCCTGAATTATAAACCTAGGAGTCTGGAGCTGGAGCAGGAGTGAGAAGAAGGGTGGAAATCAGGCCCTGACTGCACTGAGAGGCCTCTCACTTTCCCTCTTCCCCACCTTCGGAGGCAGGAGCATCGAGAAGCTCAAATGCTTTAACCGTCTGCTGTCAGCTGTGCTCCAGGGGTACAAGGGCCGCTGTGAGGGCCTCAGCATGCAGCTCAGCCAGCGGGAGGCTGAGGCCACAGCACTCCGTCTGGCCTTGCAGTACAGGTCAGTGCACCCTGCCAATGATGTCACTGGCTGGAGAGGCAATGGGCTTTCCCAGGGTGGCCCCAATCCACAGAGGCAGACAGAGCCCTTGCCAGAAAGCACTTTCCTCCACAGAAGTTAATTAAAGGCAATTCTAATCCCGGGGTGCTGAGGGAGTCTGCATGCTTCCACAGGTGAGGGGAGGGGAAGAAGCGAGGGGTTCAGGAGCAAGTGGGGACTAGCACCTACACAGCAAGATGGAGCTGGGTGTCCTAAAGCACTCAGAACCAGTGTCCCACAGTGAGCACTGTGAGGAGGCATACGGGGCCCTGCTTGCTCTGCGGGAGGCCGACTCAGGAGCAGGGGACCTACAGGCAGCTGAAAAGGAAGCATTGAGGCTGCTGGCACAAGAAGAGGCTGCCATGGATGGAGGAACACTGCAGGGTCCACAGCCAAGGTACCTTGGGAACCCTGGAAACTGCACTGGTTAGTCAGCGAGGTCCTGATTGGGGAACGTGGCTCCCAGAGCTGGCCACGTATTGGGGTTGGCATGGCTATGCCTAACAAGGTTGGTATAGAACTCACTGTGGTTGGTTGACGTGAGGCCCTGCAATCCTGGCCTGTTGCTACTTAAGAAGATTGGCATGGTGGTTGACAGCCTTTGGGGTTGGCATGGGATTCACCAGGGTTGGCATGAAGATGGATGATGGTGCCCACTGATTAGAACTGGCATGATGGTGCTTAAAGGGGTTGGCCTGATGTTTGATGGCACCCACTGGGGTTGGCCTGATGCTTCCAGACAGGGTTGTCAATCTGGGCGATGGTGCCCATTGGGTTGGCATGATGGTGTCCACCATGTTGGCATGAGCAATGGTACGTATTGGGCTGGCTGGCATGATGGTTTTCACCATGTTGGCATGAGCAATGATGCCCACTAGGTTGGTGTAATGGCCTCTACCATGTTGTCTTGATGGAAGATGGTGCCTGTTGGGATTTACATTATGGTGCCCACCATGTTGGTGTGACAGGGCCCACCACAGATGGCATAGGATCCATCATGGTCAGTGAGATAGAAGATGATAGAGCCTACCAAGGTTGGCAAGAAGTTAACCCATCCATGACTGCCACTGTTGACACAGGCCCCTCCTGTTTTCTGTAGCCCGGAGGGCAGCAGTGTGGATAAGCCCACACCACAGGAAGTGGCTATCCAGCTCCGAGATTACATCCAGCGTCTCCAGGAGCGCCGTGCTCTGGTGAAGATTCTCCCAGAGCCTGGATCTACCTTGGCACCCATGCCCACTGTGCCCCGTGCAGAAGCCATAGTGCAGGCCATTCTGGGGACCCAGCCTGGCCCAGCCTTGCCCCGGCTGGAAAAGATGCAGATCCAGCAGGACCTGGTGGACACAAGGGTACAAATGAGCTCTGGCCACTGTGTCAGTCTTTCCTGGTGGGGAAAACCCTTTGATGAGGCTGAGAGGGCTGTGGTTGGGGGACCAAGGAGCAAAGGAGAGTTCTGCTGGGCTGGGGGCAGGCTTCTTGGAGGAAGAGGAATTGGAGCTGGGGTTTTGAGGAGTGAATAGGAGTTTGTCCTTTGGGATTCAGTTTCTCATTCAACTCTGAATGCGACTTTCCAAAATGCCCTTCCTATGGGAAGAGATAGGGACAAGGAACGTAATCTGGGGTTTGTAGTCTGGCATCAAAGACATGAGGATCTGGAGTTGGAGAACTCCAGAACCTTCCACTAAGCTGCTGCTTGACCTTGTCTAGGATACTTGCCCTCTCAGAAATACCATTTCTACAGCTGTAGCTTTTAAGGGAGGAAGGTCATGATGAAGCTCAGAGTTTTTGCCTAACCTGTGCTCAGTGGGTACCTCTTGGGGCCTCAGTTTCCCCAGAAGTTGACCCTAGAGGCAGAATTCTCTGCTCCCTCCTCGGTCCCTCAGGAGTCCCTGGCAGACCTGATGCTGCGGCTGCAACTGGTGCGGCGGGAAAAGCGGGGCCTGGAACTGCGGGAGGCTGCGCTCTGAGCCCAGGGCCCGGCTCACGTGCTCCTGCTGGAGCAGCTGCGGTGGGAGCGGGCACAGCTCCGGGCTGGCGGGCCGAGTGGCAGTGGCGGAGACAGCAGCGGAGGTGGAAGCAGTGGGGACGAGGAGGAATGGTCCCAGGTGAGCATCCCTGTCTGGACCTGGTAGGGATAGCAGCGTACTACTGGCTGTGTGGCCCTGGCCAATCACAGCCCTCTCTGAGCCTCAGTTTCCATTTCTGCACAGAGAAGCCAGTTGCATCGTTATGCTTCATGTCAAAGCTCCCGCCTGCACTTTGGGGGTTCTTTCTTTGAGGGTATCGAGCCCACGGGGTTTAGCATCTTCCACTCAAACTTGAACCTCTTTCTTCCCACCCCCAGGCTGGTCCATACTCCCCCTTCTTTGTCCCTCACTCCCCCAAACGAGGCTGATCTCCTAGATTTTGGAACCAGCCTCCTCTCAGTCCTTTCCCTTTTTCCCATTTCTGTCTGATCATGCTTGTCCTCTGCTTAAGGCCTTCAGTGGCTTCTAGAACACCCAAAGTTCAGGCTTCTTAGTGCAGTTCGAGTCATCGCTCCCAGCTCCAGGGCTTTGTACATGCTGCACCCTGCCAGGAACACTGGTCACCTCCCTCTGCATGTAATAAAGTCCCCAGCCCCCTGCAGGTCTGAGCTTAAACATCGCTTCTTCAAGGAAGCCCTCCTGGACTGCCTTCAGATGAGGTCCCCTGTTGTTATTCACTTGTCAGGGAGCAATTCTACCCTTATTGGTGTATCTCACCACGCTGAGGTCTCCAGAAGGGCAGCCTCCATGTCCAGCTTGGGCTGAGCACACACAAGCTTAGACTAATGTCACTTCCTTCTCTTCTGCCGCCTTTAGGGCCCTCCTGTTGTCCCTGGTGGCATTGGTGGCATTGATGGAGGCCAGGTGGGCAGAGTGTGGGATCCAGATAAATTAGCGCAGGAACTGGCAGCGTCGCTCACCAGGTGTGTGCCTGACCTGGGCTGGGGGCGGGGGGCCAACAGCCCATGGGGATGTTCTGCGTGGCAGAGGCCAAGGTGTACACCTGCATACAGGTGTGTTCCCATGGAAACACTGTGGGCAGGTGGGGGGCAGGAGGGGAGGGAGATAGAATTGGCTGTGGCTGTGAACCACCCCCCCCCCCCGGCCCGCTGCATCAGGGCCGTGGACCTGCGCGAGCAGCTCCAGTCTCTGCGAGAGAAGCTGGAACAGGTGGCTCAGAAGGGGCGAGCCAGACGGGCTCAGGGTGCTGAGCTGAACAGCGATTTATGCAGAGCTCACAGGTGGGCCCCCATCTTGTACCTCCTCCACTGCGATCTCAGATGCATTCCTGGGTCTCTCCGGGCCTCCTGTGAGATAGGCGACAAGTTCAATCCCTCCCACACCTCCCCTGATGCCTGGTGTAAGCCCAGCCCTTGCCGAGTGATGCTGGGAGCCCAGGAAGACCCAATCCCCAAGAGCTCCCAGCCTGGGAAGGGGCGCATGCAGCCCCTGCCTTTCCTGGCTTAGCCATCCCCCTCACCTCCAGCGCCCTGGTCCTGGCCTTTCGAGGAGCCCACCGGAAGCAGGAAGAGCAACGTCGGAAGCTGGAGCAGCAGATGGCGCTCATGGAGACCCAGCACGCCAAGGAGCTGGCAGTGCTAGAAGCCACTGCAGGGGCCCTGGGGAAGCCCAGGCCACCCCGCCTGCCTCCCCGACTGGGGGAGACCTTTTTGTAGGCCCCGCACCCAGCTGTGTCTGGATGTGCCAGACAGTTGTGGCAGGCCATGTCATAAACTGTCCTGGAGTGACATTATGTCGTGCAGCCTGACTTTGTGTCTGGGGGTGCGTTTGGTGTGATGGGGGCTGGTGCACGTGGGTGTCAAGGGCCTGATGGGGGGTGTCCAAGCATTTGAGAAAGACTCAGTGTCTTTGGTCTGGCACCAAGAGGGGTGTGAATTTCTCGGTATGTCTAGTGGGCACAGCCAAAAGCAACTTGGGCTGTGAGCCCAGGTTCCCGGGACTGGGGCAATCTGAAGATCAGTGAGGTTGCACAGCCAGAGCTGAAGTTCCTACTGTCCTCTGCCTCATAAGCCCAGGGAGGGGTCCCCATGGGCGCAGGACACATCTTTCCCTGCCCATTCCTGGCAGATGCTCTCGAAGAGGAAGATATCCATATCCCAGAGGGGGACACTGAGGCTGAAAGGTTCCAGTTCAGTGTGTGGTCGAGAGCTTGCTCCTAAAGGGCAGATAAGGTTTCTGGGTAGAGGACAGGCACAGCAAAGGTAAAAGCCTGGAACTCGGTGGCATTGTACTTGGAGAGGAACTCGGTATACATACCAGTGGTGGGCAAGGAGGTCTGGACCACTGTGTCCAGCTTGAGAAGTTCGAGCTTTCTCTTGGGGAACGGAGCTATGGGAAGTGTTTGTACCAGGTTAATAGCAGGCAGCTGATTAGCATGTCATTTGCATAGATCCCCCCCAGCAGGCTGGCTGGGTCAGGAGAGGGGGCCTGGGCTGGGATTAGTGGCCAGATGTACACTCCTGGGTGGTAGCTGAAACCCAAAGCAGGGATTAGAAAGGTTTTGGTCCCCAGCTTGGGGGGTGTGGCGGGCGCTCGAGGCCACAACTGTGCAGGTGTGTGCAGGGGGGCTGCCTTTCCCAGGGGGGACAGGCTGGCCTGAGGTCAGCGCCAGTCAGTGGCCTGAACCCTCAGGTCCTCCTGACCCGAGAGGCGGAATACGAAGTGGGGACACGGTCCTCCCAAGTGAGTGCCCTTGCCACGGTGACCTTGGGACCCCAGTGCTCTCTTTGGACCCGGCTTCTGGCTTTGAAGAAAGCAGGGAAACTGAGACAGGCCACGCTGTCCATGGGTGGAGGGCAGAGAAGCTGAATTTCCTCCCTCTTGTCCCCCTTCCCCAAGAGTCTAAGCCTGACCTTAGCCCCCAGTTCCACCAGGTTGCCCGTGGAAGGGCAAAGGGAGCCAAGGTCACTTGCTGGGGGGGGGCGGGGGGGGCAGGTTCCCAGGCTGCGGGAGCCCAGTCTGACTGTTGCCACCTGCGCCCCCGCGGCAGATGGGCCTAGGCCCTTTTGTCCCTGGTCTGTGGCTGCCGCAAGGTCAAATGTCACCGCGGGGCCACGGGCAGGGGTCAGGGGGGCGGGGCCGAGCCTCAACCCACCCCCCAGGCAGGTCCGGGGGTGGGGGGGCGGACTGGAACTACTGGAGATTCCGGGATCTGTGGTGGTCCTTCTCCCCCTGGCTCTCACCCAGCCCCAGGCCCCCCTTCTAAGCCCCCGCGGCTAGACTCAGCTCCCACAAACCCCAGTTCCCTGTGCCCTCCCCTTCGCGCCTCCCCCTCTTCCCTGACCCTTCTCTTCCTTCTAAGTCCCCTATTTAATCCCTTCTCTGAAATCTCACCCCAGTGCCCCCTACCAAGGATACCAGCAGATCCAGGCCAGGGACCTATGTTCCCTGTCCTCACCCCAAAAAACCAGCCATGCCCCTACATTGCCAGCAGCCCCAGAACCAAAAGGTCCTCTCTGCCCACCCAGACCACCCTCCCCCACTTCCCCAGCGGGGCTTACATAAGGCTGTGGGTCCAGCCCTACTCCAGTCAGACCCATGGGAAGTCTTTCCTCATATCTAACCCTCGTCCTTCCTGCTTTCTGTATTTACTAAGCCCTCCTCTACCTCCCACTCAGCCAGACCTTCCCTGGGGGAGATCAAGAGGCCCAGGGCTAGGTGTGTTGGCTCTCCTTGAACCTCAGTTTCCCTTTAAGTGTTGCACGATCTCCAAGCATCTTCCCACCTCCCTCTGGGGAGGGTGTCCCCTCAAGTATCATCTAGGAAGGAGGAGGCATAAGGGCAGGTGAGCAGGCTGGCATTGCTGTCCTGCCTGGAGCTCTCAGGTGTCCAGCTCTGGGCCCAGGGCTGGGCAGAGAACAGGCTGGGTGGCTGGGCCTGAGGGACTCTGAGGTGAAAGGTCACCCCTAAGGGCTGGGAGAAGGGCTTTTTTCCAGCCAGTTAAATGTTAACAGGCCCAGAGCCAGAGGAGGCCAGGCCTTGCATACAAAGGGTGCTTAATAAATGCTGGTAGGGCCCCAGCCCCAAGTCTGGAGGGTTGGGTGAGATAGTGGTGCAGGGATTGGAGGCGGGTGGCAGCTGGGAGGCTCCAGGGAGCCTGGAAAAGACATCTGCAGTACAGCTGGCCGCCAGACCAAGCCCTTTCTGTAAAGCACAGAAAGAAAAGGAAATGAAACGGGAAAGGGGGCAGGCCCCGGCAGGGGAGGTGGGCATTCCCGCCGCCTCCAGCCGCGCTGGGCCGGTGGGCGCCCTGCCCCCAGAGGCCTGAAATTCTGGAGCGGGGCCCCCTGACCTCGCCCCCAGGCAGCCAGCCTCAGACCACAACATTCCTTCCCCTGGAGACTGCAGGCACCAGGTGCTAACCCAGGCAGGGAAAGGGTGGGGTGGCGGGGTTTGATGCGGCGACTCTCTGGAAGTGGAAGCGAACACAGTCCACCACGCAACTGTGCAAAGAAATGCTCCACGGTGTGCGTGTGTCTTGCACAGGGGCGTGCCCCCCGGGTGCAACTGGCCCCCTGTCACAGCTTCTGCCGGGAATGCGTTGGAGGGGGGCGTTCCGAGGGGCGCCCGGAGGGCGGTTGAGCGACACAACGTCCAAGGCCAGAGGTGGCGGGGCGGGCTTTGGAGAGACATCTTGGCGAGGCTCGAGGAAGAGCGGAGGGCAGCCGCGGCCCAGGACCCCGCCGCGGCCCGCCAGGGGTTAAGGCTGGAGCAGGGCGCGGGCGGGGGCGCGGGGGGAGGGGCAGGAGGGGGAGGGTCAGGCCCGGCGGTCCCGCGCTCCGCCCCCGTCCCTCCCGCCGGCCCGGGCGCCTGGCGCCGCGCGCGGCCACCCATGCCCTTATAAGGGCGGCCGTCGCCGGGGCAACGAGCGCCCGCCCCCAGCCCGCGGCGCGCGCCCCTGCCCCCGCCCCCGCCCCCCGCCCGCCCGGCGGATGGAAGGGGCCCGATCGATGTGGTGGTGTCGTGCTCTCCGGGGCCTCGAGCCGCGTGACGGGCGAGGGACC